TTCTGCTACTGCCCCTTTCATCCCATAAGCATTTATTCTCATTGTTCAGTTGTGAGACTTCATTTCTTCTACATGAAGGAATTGGACCCAGGTATCTCCATTTGCTCTATGTCCTATCAAAATTCATAAATTTACAAGACAGGTTATACATAGAGAAATACTGCATTAGTACTATCCTTGGTACACACCCAGGGCAGGAACAATCCTGGATTTAATACAGAGTAAATCTCCCTCCACACCATCCTCATCAAACACTCCCAGGACAGAGATAGCACGGAGTTAGATGCAGAGTAAGGTTCTTTCTACATTATTCATATCAAACACTCCCAATACAGGTACAAGATAAGGATCCCTCTACATTGTCCATTCAAACATTCCCCGGCCACAGCTTTCGATTCCCATCTCCACAATGTGCAATAATTGTAGATGTCTCTGAATTTTGTGTCATCATTCAGAGCTATTCAGCTCGGTGAGCCCTCACAGATCTCCCATGCTCATTGTCCCTGCCTTCCCTTTCCTATCTCCATCTTTCCCTCTCCTTTCCCTTCACTTCTCTGCATCCCTCCTGTCCTTCGTTTGTTGTTTTTTCTGAGAATTTATTATAACATTGTAATGTTAAGACAAACCATACTGATTTCTGAAGAAGGGTCCCGCCCTGAAACTTCAACTTCCCTGCTCCTCTGATGCTGCCTGGCCTGCTGTGTTCCTCCAGCTCCACACCATGTTATCTCTGAGTATAACAGTGTTTGCTCTGTCCTGGAGGATAGAGGATTGGCTGGTGGACAGTAAACAGAGTCATTTCCAGCTTGACAACTTGGTACTGGTGAGGGTGCCAGCAGAGTCACTGCTAAAGACACAACAATTTACAATTGATTTAGACAAAGGGAACAAATGTAATGTCTCCAGGTTCACTGACAAGACCAAATTGGGTGGGAGTGAAAGCTGTGGGGACAACTAAAGAGGCTGTGAACAGATACGGACAAGTTCACAGAGTAGACAAGCATTGGCAGATGGTCAGATCTCCACATTAAATCTCAGCTGCGGCAGAGATTTACACACACTCAGTGACATATTAAAACCCCTGTTCCCTGCACAGTCCACATTGCCAGATGCAATGAAATTGTTCCCTTGTCTGAGGGCAGCTTTCTGATGGATAAGATTGCAACATGAAGGTACTGACTGTAAGCGTTTGCTACATCCCATCATATCATATACTTTGCTGTCTCTATGATGTGAACTATATTTAAAACACTGGCCAACGGAATGTAATGTGGTGAAATGCGATCCATGTTTATAGGAAGAATAGAAGAAAAAGACATGTTTTGCTTTAAATTGGTGAGAAATTATTAAACAATATTGTTCGGGGGTTCGACTGATCTCGTACATGAGTTAACATGATGGTAGAGCCAATAATTAGGAGGACAATGATACATTGCCAGGAGATTGTATTAAGAACATGAGGAAGTCTTGCAATGAATTTCTCAGTCAGATCTTCCCTTTCACTGAAGGTATTAATGTCCCTTTGGCATTCCTCCTTCACACACAATCACTCAAACACACACACACTCTGTCATGCACTCACACACACTCACTCACAAAAACACAGCTGCAGAGCAATACAAACTCACCATCTCAGAATCACACAAACTTACACACACACACCAGCACAATCTCTAAAATTCAACCATTTTCACTCCCTCAGTCACATACTCCCCCACGTGCACATTCACTCACTCACTGCCCCATACACTCCCTCACATGCACACTCAATCCCTCACCAAACGTAGGGCCTTGGGTAGTGTCGAACAGAGGCACCTAAGGGCTCAAGTAAATAATTCTTTGAAGTTTGTGTCACACGTAGACAAGGTGGTTAAGAAAGCATTTAGCACACTTGCCTTCATTGCGTAGACCTTTAAATATAGGAGTTGGGACATCATGTTGAGGTTGTACAAGATGATGGTGAGGCCTCATCTGGAGTACTGTGTTCAGTTCTGCTCACCTTGTTATATATTATTAAATGTTATTATTAAACTTGAGAGGGTTCAGAAAAGATTTATCAGGATATTGTCAAGAACAGAAGGTTTGAGTTATAAGGAAAGGCTGGATAGGCTGTGACTTTTTCACTGGAGCATATAAGGTTGCAGGGTGACCTTATAGAGGTTTATAAAATCATGAGTGGTATAGATAAGGTAAATGGCAGGTGTATTTTCCTAAAGGTGTGGGATTTCAAGACTACAAGGCATATTTTTGAGAGAAGAAATTTTTTTGAAAGGAAAAAGACTTTAAGAAAAGTCATGAGGGGCAACTTTTTTTTCCACGGAGAGTGGTTCATGTGTGGAATGAACTTCCAGAGGAATTTGTCAATGCAGGTACAGTTACAATGTTTAAAAGATACTTCGGTAAGTACATGAATAAGAAAGGTTTACAGGGATATGGGCCACGTGCAGGCAAGTGGGGAACAATTTCAGTTTGGGATTATGGTCGGTGTGGAACGATTGGACCGAAGGGCCTGTATCTGTGCTGTATGACTCTATGATACACATGTATCTATGGGTCCAGGAGTTTTGTTTATTACAGATCCATTTGTTTTATTTTTAGGCAACACAAAATTTGAAGTCACAGTGGCACAGTGAGGAATTTTATAAATTCCTCTGATCGTAATAAAACAAAACTGATTCCAGTTTAAAACTCAGATTCTGAACAAGGCCTGACACATACAATTCAGTCTCAGACCAGAAATGTCATCTTTTGTATATTCCTATCATGCTGCCTGTTTCAAGATTGGAAAGTTCATCAGACTCTGCCGAAACATTTAATTATCTGAAGGCAGTGGGTTTCAGCAGAGTCTGAAATTCGCATCTTAATTAATCGAAACTTGCATATCCTTTCTAACAGACTTCTCCAACTCCTGCTTCCGATGCAAACTTACATTTATCCACCATTCCTATCAGCCCTGGAGAAAGTGAGCTGCGCTCCATAAAACTGACAGAATTCCAAAGGCTGATTTTCTTTGGAGAAACAGAATGTACAGAAATTAAATTGCAGCTTTCCCTGTTCCTGCTCCCGGTTCAATATTTGACCATTTAGTTTGTACAGACTTGGAGACTGGAATCTAATTGATGATGTCACCAGCAAGTTTATACATAGCACAACATATCACGGGAAGTGAATTACAGACTATAATCTAATTGAGGTGTTTGGAGTAATTTATCAAGTAACCGATACTGTCACACCGGTTAGCTTCATTCGATATGGGACTTTGAACAGAATATCACACACTAGTGAATTAATTAGAGGCCTCCTGTTCAGTTTGTTTCTCCCTCTCACAGGCAGAGTGCAAGAACGCACAAATTTCAAGGATGAATAGAGAGCTTTTAGTTCATTTAATACTTATTGGGAAAGATTTGATTTCATCAACAATGGAAGGCTAGGAAGGATTTATTGCAGGGAGGATGAAGAAATAAACGTTGTGCTCCACAATGGTTTTGTTTTAATTTGGTACGTTTCAGAAGAGATTGGGGAAATGTATTATTTTTTGAGGTAATTTTGTAACAATCTACATTTAAGCCCATAACTATAATCCTTTAAACTTTAGTCACTCAAGAAAATGTACTTACTTACTGTACACAAAAATCTCCCTAAATTATCTTTTATACACTGCTTACACTTTATACACATTATAAAGCTACCACCTACTTTGTAATTTCTATTTGTACTTTGTGATCTCCTTCAAATGTTTTAGCTTTTCCATGACATTAGTTTTAAAAATGAGGAAAATCATCCAGGGAACTGTCAACCACAGACAGAAAAAACATCAATTAAAAAAATGGTCTCTGAAAATAGTCAGTGATGGGTTTTTGACAGAATTAGAAACTTGCCCATTAAACAAAAACGGAGAAATTAAGTTCAGAATTTCAATCACAAGGACACAGCAGCATACCAGCCCCTGACCTGAACAACCGGGCACAGAAAACATCGGAAAATACCCTCGGAAAATAGGAAAGAAACACAAACAGGCCAAATTGAATGAGATGGATCCACAGATAGATACCTTAAGGAATCAATCAGGCACACTAGGATGATCCCCATATGGAGGGACTATCTTCTGAATAAAGATTAAACAGCTTGAGACTCTACTCATTGGCGTTGAGAAAAATGAGAGGTGATCTCATTGAAACATAGAGCATTCTTAAAAGGCTTGACATGGCAAATGCTGAGAGGACTTTTCCCCTCATGGGAGAGTCTAGAACCAGATAGTGCGCACACAGGGAAAAAAAAGAGTACCAATTTGAGTCTTAGATGAGGGGGAATTTCTTCTCTCAGAGGGTTGAGTGTCTTTGGAACTCCCCACCATACAGGTGTTGGGGGTGTGCAGAGACCTAGTGTGTATTTTACACTGAGATAGGCAGATTTTTGATTGCCCATAACCCTTGATTCCCCGACCAAAGGACAAGAAAGTGGACATGAGGAATGCTGGTACAACTATGATCCTACTGAATGATGGAACAGGCTAGAGGGGCCAAACAGTCTACACTTGTTCTTATTTCTTATAGTCCGGAAGGAAGTCACAGCAGGTGACATCAATGTTTATCACCCTTAAGGACCAATCACAGATTGATCAGACACTCCTTAAGCCAATTAGAAACTAGCATCACCCAGGCCAATTACAATGTAATAACGTCACTAATGTTACAATAGGTTGTGACTTGGAGATAGAAGTTAGCAAGCCGCAGCTTTCAGTGACCACAGTACATGCACCGAGTTTGAAGCTGAGCTTAATATAGGCTGCTGCTCAGTGAGAAACACAAGGACATCACGCTATTGGACTGGGTCCAGAGATCTAGTGTTGACTCCTTGCACCCCAGCCGAATTGGAAAGCAAGGCCGGAGTATGCCCTTCAATACGAAGCATTGCTTTATAACTTCAAGTCATGTCACCAGGCTGCATCCTATTGCCTGGAAATGGTTAAAGTCTCAAACAAAACAAAACAGAAGTTAGGATTCGGGTTCAATGTGTAATCTAAAATTTACAGGGGTGAGGCTTGAAAAGAACAGACAAGAGGGAGGAGACTTTTAATTGAGCTGTTCAAAATCAGGAAACTTTTAACACAGTAAATAGGAAGGATGTACTTTCAGTGACCACAGGTTCAAAACAAACAACACTCATTGAAGGTAATTGTTAAATTAACCAAAGCTAACATGACAGCATTCTTCTTCACACTGACAGTTGCTATGGTCTGGAACAGACTCACTGAAAGCTAAATGGAAACTAATTCAATGGGACCTTACCAAATGAAATGATTAAAACAGTGGGACCAATTCGACAACTCTTCAACAAGCCCAAAGCTGAGTAGATGTGCCCCTCCTGAGCTGTACCATTCAGTGATCAGTGTGCGATGTTACTGTACAGAACCACATGCAGACATATCCAGCATCTAAAAACATATCAGGAACATGTTTGGAAATCATTTGAGGCATTGCAGAAAGGTCCCGGATCAATAAAGGGGCATTTTCAGTGACTCCGATCCTCTTGACCAACTGTACACCAAGGGTTCATCTTGACAACATCAAGAGGTCGAGGGGGATCAGTTCTGAGAGGTTAGCCCTGATTCCTGTGACTCAAGGGGGTCATGTGGCCTGTTCATTTTTTAATCTCTTCCTTCCCTGTTCAATAATCCCAGATCCTCTAATCGCAGGGTCATCACTTCAACAGAAGAGGAAACTTTGAACTGAAACGGAAGATGGACAGCTGGCAACAGTTTCAGAACAGAATGAGGAATGTCCCAAACCAAATGGCCACCATGGCCTTCAGGAGGGAGCTGCTTTCTCTTTCTTCAATTCCGAGCAGAAAACTGGTCATTCCAGGATCTTCCACTGGCAAAGTTCCAGGATCTTCCGATGGTAACATTCAACGTGGACGTCGGAACCGCACGTGGGATCTCCTGGCTAAAACCATTAAGGTGGAAATTACTTCCAGTTTTACTTCAAGAATCTGGATAGTTTCAAACAGCAACATTAACCTGCCCTCGAAATCCCGTACAACCCCAGTTACCCACTCATGCCGGAGCACAAACTCTCACTATAGTCTTAAGACTTTGCACAGATCTGCCCTGAGCACAGCTCCAGAACCCAGTACAGGCCTCACATACATCCCACCAGACTGGCCAGCAGTCCATACGCTTCACAGAGTGACTCCCACCACCAGGAACCCCACCCTCCAAAGAGAACCCTTAAATATACGCACCACCCACAAACAGAGGAGATTGCAGAAGTGAGGTGAGTTGCAGAAGGTTATAGTGATGGAGAGCTGTAGCAAATGAAAGACCAGAGAGAGGAGTGTGACTCTGGGGGATGGAGGAAGTCCTAGGGACAGCGAAGGTTTGCAGGGGCCTGTAACAGTTCTAGAGGTAGGTGTTTTGTAGTTGCTGCAGAAGGTTATAGCATTGGGAGGACTCAAGGGGCTGTGGAAGTCCCAGAGATGGAAAAAGTAGTGGAGTCTGAGGTTACAGACTTTGGACTTTCAGAGGGCTGAGACTGTAGACATAGGGAGGGGTGTAGGGGCTGGTGGAAGTTACAGAAATAGGGAGGGGTGTTGGGGCTGGAGTGGGTTACAGATATAGGGAGGGGTGTAGGGGCTGGAGTGGGTTACAGAAATAGGGAGGGGTGTAGGGGGCTGGTGGAAGTTACAGAAATAGGAAGGGGTGTAGGGGCTGGAGGAGGTTACAGAGATAGGGAGAGGTGCAGGGGCTGCAGGAGGTTATAGAGATAGGGAAGGATGTAGGGTCTGGTGTAGGTTAGACTTATAGGAAAGGGTGTACATGCTCTCGAGGAGGTTACAGAGCTAGGGAGGGGTGTAGGGGCTGGAGGTGGTTACAGAGATAGGGAGAGGTGTAGGGGCTGGGGGAGTTTACAGAGATAGGGAGGGGCTTATAGACATAGGGAGGGGGTGTAGGGGCTTATAGACATAGGGAGGGGGTGTAGGGGCTGGAAGAAGGTTACAGAGATCAGAAGGTTGTACAACCTGAATAAGGAGGTTGGTCGAACATAAAGGATACAGAAATGTAGAGGTTTCTGAGACTTAAAGGAGATTTGAGACTGGGAGATATGTCGAAGCTGATGGGGGTGAAGAGAGATCGGGAAGTATGTGGGAGCCTGTGGAGATCATTTTGAGGGAGTGCCCTACCTGCTCACAGAACACCCAGACGCATGTTTGCTCCTGAGCGATACTGAGTGAGAGAACAGTCCCCAGATGTGAAACTTCCCACCATCCAAACACCCTCTGACCTTCCGGACTAGCATACTTACCACCGAGCCTCTGAGTGAGGACTGAACAGTGAAGGAATAAAATGATAAAGGCAATGATGAATTCCAGGAAGCACAATACCAAGAGGAAGAAGACTGTCATCAATGGCCCCAACTGTAAAATACAAAAATGAGACACTCCAATCACCACCCTTCAATGTGAGACCTCCCACTAATCCTCTATTCTTTAAATCCTGTTCCGAGCCAACAATGTGAACTCAGTCTCTCTCATTCTCTAACACTCACATCCCACCTCACAAGAGGTGGGCATCTCTCTGATCCCTGCTTCTGTTCTCCTCTTTCTTCCTGTGAACTGTCACTCTCCCCTCCTGCCAGCACTGTCCTCTCACTCCATCCTGTGCTTCAGTCTCGAGTGTGATCTCCAACTCTGACTTTTGCCCATCTCTCACTAGAGCACTGCTCCGATGCCTTGTCCTCCCTCTCCCAAATACAAACCCAATCCCTTTGCTGAGTCCTGTACCACTTTCTAAGCACCATCTCTTATTCTCCCTTTCTCCCCACATCTGACCTGCACCCCATCTCCAGGACTGTCTCTCACTCTTAAATCTGATATCTTCCTAGCTTTCTTCCCCGAAGAAGCAGTAACTGTCTCTCTCTTTCCCAGCTTTGAATGCTGTCTCTTTCTCCTTCACCCCCACTCTGTCTCTCTCCTATCCAGAGTTTTGTCTCTAACTTGCCTTACTGATTCCCTCTCTCCCTTGCTTTCTCTTCTTCTCTCCCTCTCTCCAAATCTTACTGCTGCCGAACACATGCAATGGAAGAGCTACTCACAAAGTAAAAGCTTGAGTTTAGTGGTTCCATCAAGTTGAGTGAGATAAGGTAAACTCCTGTACCGACCATAGCTGCTACACAGCTGACTATGTGCATCAGTATTATTGCTTGTTTCTGCAGGGAGTTTAAACAGATTACTTTGCAATAAGCCAATCAACAAATTATTTACAGCTAGAATGTTCTCCCCGTTCTGGAAGAGCTACTGTGCCTCTCTCCTCCTACTCTGCACCCTGCCACCATGTCTTCCTGAAATTGCTGACCACGTCAGTGTCTCTTCTCCAGCCCTCTGGAGCCAAGGAATAGGAAAGTATCTTGCATCTCCAACCCCAATGAAGGAGCAAGTCAACCAGTGCTCTTCCCTTATCAACTTCCAGTTGTGCTGTACATTCTTCCTTTGCAGCTAACAGTCAAATTTCCTGTTCAATTCCTCAATTGAACCTGTAGCCACCAAACTCCCAGGTGCCTAATTCCAAATCCTGACCACACCCATGGTCTCAAAAAGCTCTTCCCTTGTTGCTGTTGTTTATTTTGGCAATTGAATTCAACTTTTCTTCTGATTCCTGATCCTTCTACCAATGGGAACAGTTTATTCGTATCTGCTCTATCCAAACCCCTCATGATTTTAAACACCTTAAAACCTTCTCCTCTCAAAGCAAGACAATCCAAACTTCTCCAATTTATCCGCAGAACTGAAGCTCCCCAGTCCTGGAACTATTCTCGTGAACTTTTTCTGCAATACCTCTGAAAAGAGTGGTGCCCAGAACTAGACACAATAAACCAGCTGTGGGCCAGTGTTTTAAACAAGTTGATCGCATCTCCCTGTCCAAAGAACAACCATTAACTACTCTGTACTGCTTCTTTTCACTCAAACAATTTTGAATCCATATTTCTGTTATTCTTTATTGCGGGAACTCTTAGCTGACCTCCACTCTGGAGGCTTTACTAAATCCCTTTTGTAATTTCTCTAGTTAATTATTCTTACCCTGGATTGTTCTGTGTACTTGCCCATAGCAAACCTAAACCGGATCACTGTTCGTCAATGTCCTCCGCTCAACACTCAACCCACCTCATTCCTAAGAACCAGTTTCAGTAATGCCCTTTGTTTGTTTGACTGGAATTGTGCTGATTCTGAAAATTGTCCTGAACACATTCTAGGAACTCTGCTGTATAACTGTCCCTGTCTAAATCATTTGATCAAAATTCTCTGTATAATTACTCTGCAATTTCTACATTTTTCTGTAATGTCCCTGTAAACTGATGCAATATAGCTGCACCCTTTCTGTTCCTTAGCTCCAAACTGATTCAGACCTTCAATCCTCTGGGATATCATCTCTCTCCTGCACTACAAACGTTTCCTGAATAATCAAGACTCTCCTCCATCCTTCTTTCCTGAAAACCTTGTGTCCACAAATCGTTAACACCTAGTTGTGTCCTGCTGAGGGCGAGGTCTTAGTTATATCCACAACATTATATTTCCATGTGCCTATAACTCACCAGTCTTACTGATCTCACTTCACACATTCAGATATATCCTCATGTAGCCATTATTCCTTTCCACTTACTAGGAATCCATCCAATAACATAATAACTCCACTGCGTGGCAGACTTTCCCAGTGTTCCCTGCACACTGGCATCCTTCTCTAACATTACTTCTAGGTTCCCATATCCCAAAGCCAATTTACTTCAAATGTTCCCAAACTCATTCTGGAAGAAAAATGATCCTGTTTCAGTTTGGGTACAATCTGCCAAGCCTGCACAGGTCCCATTTCCCTTGTGTTTATGCCCACATCCCAGGAATCAAAAACGCTCTTTTCTCCATAAGTATCTTTCCAGTCACTCATTCACCTGCTTTACACTCCTGCTACCACATTCACTGATGCATTGTAATGGAAGTAAAATGAAGATTACAACTGGGTTTGTGTCTGTTTGTACCGTAAATTCCCACCGGAGGATTTGAGAAAGGGATCCATCAATATCTCCTCAGGACAAACTGTGACCAAGTTGTGCAACACATTCCCAAGAAGTTAAAATGTTAACAATACTTACAAGGTTGATATTCGCTGTGTTTATAATGTCCACCACCAGTGATCCTGCTGCGATATACTGGGGGTAAAAGTACGCTGTATAAGAAACATTGGTGGCATAACAATAATTGTAAGCTGAATATCAAAACACTTTGTAGCATGCACTGCTTGTATAAATATATTAATGAAGAATTAGAATGTGTACATACAGCATGAAGCAGCAACTATTTTGGACTTCATTCTTTGTTCAAGTCTCCACCCACTCACCCTCTTCATCTCAGCTTCTCAGCTTAACTTTCTATTCCATTTTTTCTTATCTACCCATCTAATTTTCTTCTGACTTTCAATCTACCTATGTGTCTTTGATATTCAATGGAACTGTCACATATGAATCTCCCATTACCCACATGCTGAGAGCTGACCAATGATGTGCCAAAGCTGCAAGCACTACCTGCCAGAAGGACAAGGTCATAGGCGACACTGGAGCACCATCGCCTGCAAGTTCCCATCCAAGTCACACACCATCCTGACATGGAACCATATTGCAGTTCACTCATTGTCAGTGGAACTCCCTTCCTACCAGCACTGTTGGCATAACTAGACCCAACGAAGTGTGGCAGTTCAAAACCACAGCTCATCATAAATACTGACCTAGGCAGCTACCTCCATATACCTTGAATAAACATCTTAAGAAAATTACTTTGATCACTCTCTGTGATAGCAGGTTCCACATCTCACTACCTTGAGTGAACAAATTTCTTCACAATTCCCCCAGGGATTTATTTGGATTCTTCATCCGTGGTTCTCTGGTTTCAGATTCCACCAAATTTTTGGGGGCCCACCAGGACCACTAAGCTGCCAACTTCATTTGAGCATCGTTACAAAAACGGACAATTCTAGAAGTGAGACGAGAGTAACTGCCCTTGACATAAAAGCAGCACTTGACCAGGTTAGGCATCGAGGAGCCCAAGCAAAACCAGGGAAAACTCTCGGATTTTTGGAGCCTTACCTGGCACTAAGAAAGATGGTTGTTGGAAGTCAGTCATCTCAGACCAGTGGGTCACTACTTGGAATTCCTCGCGGTCTTGTCTTAGGCCCTACCTTGTTCAGCTGCTTCATCAATGACCTTCCCTCCATCATAAGGTCAGAAGTGATGCTCACTGATGACTGCACAACATTCAGCACCATTTGTGACCCCTCAGATACTGAAGCAGCCCATGTTCATAAGCAACAAAACCTGGACAACAGCCAGGCTTGGGATGATACGTGGCAAATGACATGCCCACCACACAAACATCATCCCCAACAAGAGGGAATCTAACCATAGTCCCTATATATTCAACTGCATACCAAGACTGAATCCCTCACTATCATCATCTTGAGTGTTGCTACTGACCAGAAACTGAAATGGAGCAGCCATGTGAAAACTGTGGCTGTAAGAGCAGGTCAGGAGCTGGGAATTCTGTGGTGAGTACTCACATCTCGCCTCTCCAAACCCCTAACCATTATCCAGAAAGCACAAGTCAGGAGTCTGATGGAGTGCTCTTCACCTGCACGAACGAGTGCAATTCACACAACAATCAAAAAGTTCAACACCATCCTGGACAAGTAAACCATTTTATTGGGACCCCTTGAACATTCACTCCCTGCACTACTGTCACCTAATAGCAGCAGTGTGTACCACTTACAAGATACACTACAGTAACCACCAAGGTACCATCCAAAGCTGTCATTTCTACCATCCAGAAGCACTAAGGTAGCAAATGCATTGGCATACCACCACCTACAACTTTTCCTTACAGGCCATGTACCATCCTGAGATGGAATTGCATCTAAATTCCTTCACCAGCTAGAGCAAAATTTTGGAATTCCCTTCCAAACAAACACCCCAATGACCGCAGCAGTTTACTGTTAACTTCTCTGGAGCAATTCAGGACGGGCAATAAGTATCAGCCCTACCCAGAGGTTGACACTGCATCAATGAAGAAAAAAGGTGGTGCCTCTGCACAGTGACAACTAAGAAAAATGTTGTGACAACAAGGTGCAGAGCTGGATGAACACAGCAGGCTAAGCAGCATCATAGGAGCAGAAAGGCTGACGTTTTGAGCCTAGACCCTGTGGATTTTTTTTTTAAATCAGTTATAAAGGCAGGAAATGCTGAAAACATCAGTAATTCTGGAGCACATTTCTCCTCGTCAACACCATGAGAATTTCATGCCTTCCACTGGTTACTTATCTAGAGAAAAGGAGTTCCAATTTGTTTAAGGGCTCCCAACAGCTGTTCCAGAATTGGCCACTGAAGATTGAGATGTAGTGACATTCCTTCACTCAGAGGGGGATGTGAATCTTTGAAATTCTCCGGCCTGGAGAGCTGTGGGTGCTCAATTATTGTGTTTATTCAAAGGCTGAGCTGTACAGACTCTTTGAGAACAAAAGGAGCCAAGGGTTGTGAAGTTTGGATGGGACAGTAGAAGAGAGAGAGAGAGAGAGACTAGCAATGATTATACTGAATACTCTTATAATTTTGCTCCTATGAATTTCCTCGGTCTTTTGAGTGATTAGTCAATGTCGATAGGAAAACTGAACGCACCAAAACTCCGGTCCACCACGGAATCCCCATTAAAACAGCAAAGATGTAAGTTTCCGTGAAATTCAGGGGAATACCGAACACCACCTGAGTGATTCCAATCATTATCTCGGTGATCTGCAAGAGAAGAGGAGTTCAGCTGTAATTCCACTCCAGAATGCCAAGTTATTCTAATGGCAGGGAGGCTATAGTACAGGTTTAGCAACAAAAATTCCTAGGTGAGACAGATGGAGATTAGCATAAAGGATTTGGGTGTGAGAGACAGGAACATTAATTAGAGCTCATGACAGATGAAATCATGAGACTAAGACTGTGAGAGACAGAGGGTGTCTGAAACCGTTCAGGGTTTGAGTGAGACAGGGAAATATCAGGCAGGATTTGTTTTGAGTTTCTCAGGATGTCAGGCTGTTACTAGTGGAGTACAGAAAATGTCAGTGCTACATTCACCACTGTTCATAATCTGTATGCACATGTTTGGATGTGGGGACCAATTGCAACATTGCCAAAATTGCTGATAACACCAAAATGGGTTGTGGGAAGGTGAAGGGGCCAGGGGAAGAGGAAGCAAGTTGTTAAGACTTGTTATAAGGGGAGGCGATGGCCTAGCGGTATTATCACTAGACTGTTAATCCAGATACCTAGATAACATTCTGGGGACCCGGGTTCGAATCCCACAATGGCAGATGGTGGAATTTTAATTCAATAAATATCTGAAATTAACAATCTAATGGTGACCGTGAAACCATTGTCGATTGTTGGGAAAAACCCATCTGGTTCACTAATGCCCTGTAGGGAAGGAACCTGCCATCCTTACATGGTCTGGCCTACATGTGACTCCAGACCCACAACAATGTGGTTGACTCTCAACTGCCCTCTGGGCAATTAGGGATGGGCAATAAATGCTGCCCAGCCAGTGATGCCCTCATCCTGTTAATGAATAAAGGAAAAAGAAAATGGTAGCATATAGGTGCAGTAGGCAATTGAAAAGGAAAACAGTATATTGGCATTCATTTCGAGAGGAACTGAGGACAGAAGAATACAGCTGCAGTTGTCTAGAATCTTAATGAGACCTCACATTGAGTACTGTGTATGGGAAATACTTGCCAGGGAGGGAGAACAATGTAGTTTTACCAGATTAATCCCTGGGATGGTGGGATGCTTACATGGAGAGATTGAGAAACTGGGTCTATGTTCTGTAGAATTTCAAATAATAAGTGATCTCATTGTAACTTAAAAATTCTTCCAGGGAATGAAGGATGGACATAGATAGGATGTCTTCAATGTTTGGTACCTCTGGAACCTGGAGCCATAATCTCCAAGGGGAGAGGCCAGTTAAGAGTGAGATGAGGAGGAATTTCTTTGTAATTCTCCCCCCTAGAAGACTGTGGAAGCTTAATCATTGAGCAGGTTTGGGACAGAAATTGTTAGATTTCTGGAGTGCAATGTCGTAAGCAATGTGGAGATAGTGTGGGAGAATGACATTAAGAAGATGGTTGGTCATGATCTACGTTGTTAGGACAGACTCAACGGCCTCCTCTGCACCTACATTTCCATGAGAGAGAGAGAGAGAGAGAGAGAGAAAACTTTTATTTCAGGTTTGGGAAAGAGTGAAATATCAGGCAGGGCTTTTAAGTTATAGGCATATATCAAAACGAACTGTGTCAGTGAGAGTGAGAGAGAGAGAGGTAAGAAACAGCTTTCACCTGCGAGAGGGGGGAATATCAGGTCGGCTTTATGACAGAGAGAATACCTGACACAGTTTGAGAGAGAAACTGAAACACCAGAATTTTGTGCTTTGGGCAAGATATTGTTATACAAGGGAGTTAGCTCAGTTGGCTGAATGGCTGGTTTGTAATACACAGTAATGCCAACAGTGTGTAGGTTTAATTCCTGCACTGGCTAAGGTTACCATGAAGGACTCTACTTCTCAGCCTCTCCCCTCACCTGACCCTCAAACTGAACATCATCAGTCATCTCTCTTGAATGACAGAGCAGCCCTATATGCTGGTAGGACTTTTATGACATTAGCTTTTACCTTCATTAGACAGGATTGTGTGCAAGGGAAAAAAGTATCCACAAACCTGGATCTGTGTGAGGGAGAGGAATTTCAGAAAGGATCACTGTGAAATCAAAGAGACTAACAATAAGAATTAGTGAACAATAGTGGGAAATATTAGATAAGGTTTGCGTGAGAAAGCAAAATTTTCAGACAGGAATTGAGAATGGTTAGGGGGTGCATAGAGATATCAGGAATGAAAAATTCAACAGGGGAATATGAGACAGGATCTGACAATAGGAGAGGGGGTGAAATATCCGGTCTTCCTTTCTCTCATACACAAGCTCTTCCTGATAATACCCTCTCTGACAAAAGTAGTGGCTGATACTCACCGATTTGACACTACTCATCCAATATACTGCCTGATATTCCCACCCCCACAAAGATGGCTTTGTGTTTGAGCATGAGAGAAGTCGACAGAGTCTGAGAGAGAGAGAGAGAGAGGTGGGGGAGTGGGGAGATATCAAACAGGACGAGTGCACGAGGAAGGAGAATATCAAACAGGGTTTATGTGTGAGTAAGACTTTCATCAGACAGAATCCAGAAATTCTAATGATGGTGGGGAACTGTTGTTGTAACAATCTAGATGACAGGCACATGTTAAGGCCATGCAGAAATCACAACGGACCTAATTCCAATGGAAATGCCTGGGAAATTAAAACTTCCACGAGGCAATTACCCAGCGACTGGAACCCTCTGATAAAGTTCCCAAATCTGAGTTAGAGGCAGAGGTTTTGAAGGATTTTAATCCACTTACATTTAATAGTTACCCATGAAAAGTTACAGGTTTGTCTGATATTGCCCCTGTCTGACGTAAGCCCATTTCGACATTCCTTCTCTGACATAAAACTCTCCAAAATTACCCCCGCTTCATAAACACCCGTTTGTGAAATGAGAAGACGGTGTGGGAATACGAGGTGGTGTGCAATGGGGAAAAATCAGATGGGTGTGTCTGACAGAGAGGGGAATATCAGGCTGGTACCATGAATGACAGCGGGAATACCAGATAGGGTTTGAGACAGAGGGAGGAACTACAGGGTCAGTGCATGAGAGAGGCAACTTCAAACAGGGTTTGTTTGCAAGACAGAAATATCAGACAGCCTTTGTGTGAGACAGAGAAGAATATCAGACAGGATTTTTATGCGCAAATATGGAACATTAGCATTTAATTTAAGTTGACATTTCTGCTGTGTAATGGAATAGTTTGGAGATGTTATAGGCAAGTTGGTTCTTATTGGGAACAGGCAGGCAATGACAGCAAGATGGAGTTGGAGATAGTTGAAACATGAATGAAACTGGCATGGACTCTACGTTCTTATCTTGGGAGAATAAATCTTTGGTTCTTACACCGAAAATCTTCAGTTCCCTGCTGAAAAAAGAGTTCACAAGCCTGAGACAGTTACCCTCTTCCTCGACTGTTTCTAAGTACAGTGTCGACACGTTTCTGAATTCAGGAAGCTGGAAGAAAAGCAAAATATTTGAATTTATTCAGTACACTTCAGGGGATCGCCAGGTACTTTGCAGTGAATGAATGAATGAATGACTCACTGATAAGGTAAACAAATGAAATTTGTCCACTGTAAGCACAGCAAAGTAAGAATTAAGCAGAGATAATCCTTCCCAGTGATGCAAGCTGGAAGAAAAATATTCAGCCTCAAGATTCAAGGAGTATTCATTACGACCTCTTTTCCCAAGTGACTCCAGCACTGTCGGAGGGTCCGTGCCGAGGGAGCGCCGCACTGTCGGAGGG